AGCCATAGCAATTTCTACAGTCCCACCACTCTCATCAAAAAGGAGTCTTCTTCCCCTCCTGTACAGTAGAGACCAGCCTCAGGAACCGGCTTCTGACAGATAAAATGTGGCAGTAGTGACACAGCAGGACACCTGAGGTCGGCTCTTCACAGGCAGTACAGCCTCCACCTGACTCTCCCTTTCTGGACTTTCTCCCTCGGAACACAGCACGTCAGAGAAGCCCGAACTAGCCACACAGAGAGACTGTAAGGGGAGGCCCATGTGGGGAGGAATCAAGGCCCCGGACAACTGCCTTAACCACTGGAGGCCAGGGTGAGCAAGCCCTCAGTGAGCTCGCAGGCTGCCAGCCTTCACGTCTTCCACTGGAGGCCCAAACATCACACCGCAGACAGCAGCCATGCCCCAGATCCTGTGCTGAGCCCTGTCCACATTCCTGACCCACAGAACACCTAGGTTTTGGCACAATCTGTTACATAGTCACGGCAACTGGAACACTGAATGTGATCTTTCTCTGTTAACTAACACAGCGTATATTTACTTGCTTATTTCTTCCCTAAAAATCCTCAGTGGTTTCCCAATTCATTCAGAAGAAAAGCTGAAGTCCATAGCACAGCCTGCAGCAGCCACGTGCTCCCCCAGGTCCTGACCTCGACTGCACTGTCCCCATCTCGCCTCTGATTGTGCTGCACCCATCCTGCTCTTCACACAAATCAGGTACACTCCTGGCCTTTGCCTTTGCTGTTCCCTCTGCTTAAATGCTCCCCGGATAACCATGGGGCTTACTCCTTTACCTCCCTCAGGCCACAAGTCCCTGAGGGCCCTCTATAAAGTGCCAATAATCTCCACCATCACCAGTCCATCCTTACCCCAGTCCTCCTTGCCTTATGTGGCAGATTGTATTTTTTTTAATGGCCATAGCAATTTGTACGGCCCCACATGCTCTTCTAGAAGAGCCATAGCAATTTCTACAGTCCCACCACTCTCATCAAAAAGGAGTCTTCTTCCCCTCCTGTACAGTAGAGACCAGCCTCAGGAACCGGCTTCTGACAGATAAAATGTGGCAGTAGTGACACAGCAGGACACCTGAGGTCGGCTCTTCACAGGCAGTACAGCCTCCACCTGACTCTCCCTTTCTGGACTTTCTCCCTCGGAACACAGCACGTCAGAGAAGCCCGAACTAGCCACACAGAGAGACTGTAAGGGGAGGCCCATGTGGGGAGGAATCAAGGCCCCGGACAACTGCCTTAACCACTGGAGGCCAGGGTGAGCAAGCCCTCAGTGAGCTCGCAGGCTGCCAGCCTTCACGTCTTCCACTGGAGGCCCAAACATCACACCGCAGACAGCAGCCATGCCCCAGATCCTGTGCTGAGCCCTGTCCACATTCCTGACCCACAGAACACCTAGGTTTTGGCACAATCTGTTACATAGTCACGGCAACTGGAACACTGAATGTGATCTTTCTCTGTTAACTAACACAGCGTATATTTACTTGCTTATTTCTTCCCTGTCTCCTCCACGAGATTGAGAGCTCCTGGAGGGCAGGGACTTGTGTTTATTTTTTCCTAGCTCAGTATCTAGACAAGTACCTGGCACATAGTGGGTGCCCAGTAAATATTCGTTGAACAAATGAATCTTTGCTAATTAAAGACAACTGCTTCTTACTATAATTTGCAATACCTTCTGCTGAGGCACATGACCTTTTCCTGAAGAACGTGTTCTTCAGTGTGTTTTGGACCAGCTCCCTGTTAAAAAATATCATCAGCCATCTGGGAAATGGTAAAGTTGGATCCATACCTCCCACTATATGGCAGGAAATAGTCCAAACGGATCAAAGATTTATACATGATGAAATGAAACCACTAAAGTCCTAGAAAAAGGCACGACAGAATTCTGATGTAACCTGAGAGTGGGAAGACCTTTCGAACTATAACTCAATCTTGGGCAATCATAAAAGAAAAAGATGGATCGATTCAAACTACATAAAAAATCACAAAACTGCTTGGCCAACAAAACCCAGCATGAGCAAAATTGCTAGATAAATGACAATCTGGGAGGAAAATTAGTAACTTCCATCACAAAGAGCTGAATTTCCCAGTGTATTTAAACAAACAAACTTCCTGTATTTGGGCAGAAAAAAAAAAAAAGCCAACAATCCAGTCCTGAGCATTCAGGGGGTTCACAGCAAAAGAGGCTCCAAATGACCCTTAATCATATGAAAAGCCATTCAATGTCTTTCTCTCACTCATAATAAGAGGGCAATGTAAAATAAAACCACACTGATAAACTATGTCTCCTCTTCAGATTGGCCCAAATTCCAAATCTTAGGACTGCAAATTAGTACATCTCTGTGCTAGGGAACTGGGACATATCAATGTTTGGGTGAGTACATCCATAACTCTGACAAGTACATTTCTGGAAATTTATCCCACAGATATGTTTGTATGTGTGTGAAATGACATATGTACCAAGTGACTCCCTGTAGCATTCTTCATAGTAGCAAAACACTGGAAACAATATAAATGTCATCCATAGAAGACTGATAACCCAAATGATGGTATATCCATACAACACAATATAGATAGATGTAATCAAGAACAAGAACACTTTTTTGTACTATTATGGAAAGAGCGTATTAGATGCATTATTAAAGGAAAAATGCAAGGTTCCAAACAGTATGCATGATGCTCTCTGCTAATTAAAAAACATCTGCTCACAGGCATGGGGATGCTGGCCCCCGGGGGGTGCTCCAGAGAACGCAGTGCAAGGAATGCCCAGCTCAGTGCCCAGCATGCCACAGATGCCCAGCACGCCACAGATGCCCAACAAAAGGGTTCATTTCCTTCCTTCTGAAAGAGAAGTGCTGACCTGGGAGAGAAATGTTAAGTCAAGTTATAGGATATGCTACTTAAACTGTCCAGCTCTGGCTTAATGTCTGGCCCACAGTGTGAAGATCAAAGCAGGAAGACAAGTGGAGTGGCAGGGGGAAGACAGGACAGGAGGCAGAGGGGACAATGAGGGAGGAAGTAATAAGAACACGGCCCAACATCCAAACATTTCCCTAGACTAAGGAGAGGCTGGTCCCAAAGCAAGATTTTCCAGGTTTTCCAGGGTGGAAATGGACCGGAGGCACTCAGCCCAGGCAGCACCAGGGACAGGGGCAAGTGGCCAGAGCACAATGTGGTAGCTGCCCAGCTCTTCCCTCAGCTCAGGAGGCCACTTGTGGGACTGGGGTGAATCTCCTGGTCACTGGTGCCCTGAGGGTTCTGGGCCTTTACTGCTGCCCCCCTCATGCTAGGACCCTGAGACTGGTCACCACCCCTCTCCCCCGTGGTCTGATCACTCATAATAAGAGGGCAATGTAAAATAAAACCACACTGATAAACTATGTCTCCTCTTCAGATTGGCCCAAATTCCAAATCTTAGGACTGCAAATTAGTACATCTCTGTGCTAGGGAACTGGGACATATCAATGTTTGGGTGAGTACATCCATAACTCTGACAAGTACATTTCTGGAAATTTATCCCACAGATATGTTTGTATGTGTGTGAAATGACATATGTACCAAGTGACTCCCTGTAGCATTCTTCATAGTAGCAAAACACTGGAAACAATATAAATGTCATCCATAGAAGACTGATAACCCAAATGATGGTATATCCATACAACACAATATAGATAGATGTAATCAAGAACAAGAACACTTTTTTGTACTATTATGGAAAGAGCGTATTAGATGCATTATTAAAGGAAAAATGCAAGGTTCCAAACAGTATGCATGATGCTCTCTGCTAATTAAAAAACATCTGCTCACAGGCATGGGGATGCTGGCCCCCGGGGGGTGCTCCAGAGAACGCAGTGCAAGGAATGCCCAGCTCAGTGCCCAGCATGCCACAGATGCCCAGCACGCCACAGATGCCCAACAAAAGGGTTCATTTCCTTCCTTCTGAAAGAGAAGTGCTGACCTGGGAGAGAAATGTTAAGTCAAGTTATAGGATATGCTACTTAAACTGTCCAGCTCTGGCTTAATGTCTGGCCCACAGTGTGAAGATCAAAGCAGGGAGACAAGTGGAGTGGCAGGGGGAAGACAGGACAGGAGGCAGAGGGGACAATGAGGGAGGAAGTAATAAGAACACGGCCCATCATCCAAACATTTCCCTAGACTAAGGAGAGGCTGGTCCCAAAGCAAGATTTTCCAGGTTTTCCAGGGTGGAAATGGACCGGAGGCACTCAGCCCAGGCAGCACCAGGGACAGGGGCAAGTGGCCAGAGCACAATGTGGTAGCTGCCCAGCTCTTCCCTCAGCTCAGGAGGCCACTTGTGGGACTGGGGTGAATCTCCTGGTCACTGGTGCCCTGAGGGTTCTGGGCCTTTACTGCTGCCCCCCTCATGCTAGGACCCTGAGACTGGTCACCACCCCTCTCCCCCGTGGTCTGCTGCCCCCCTCATGCTAGGACCCTGAGACCGGTCACCACCCCTCTCCCCCATGGTCTGCTGCCCCCCTTTTGCCCTGTCTCCATCTCAAGTTGGCTTTATTGCTAACCTCCCAGGCCTCCCAGGAGGAGATGCAGGTGGCCAAAGGTCACTGTGCTCAGTGGTCACATGCCCTGAAGGAGCCTGCTGACACCACTGTCCCACACCCAAGAGCACTGCCTGCACCAGCGAGCACTCCTCGCTGTCCACGTCTGCCCCAGTGCCGGCCTCAAGGAGGGAAAAGGGCCTTTAGCCCGCGAGTCCCAGCCCCAGAAAGCCAGAGGCAGCTCCGCAGGAAGCCCAGGGCCACAGAAAGCAGCCAAAGCGATGGCAAGTTGTCTGCCCCATTGACCCCGGGTGGCTCTGCCGGTCAGCAGCAGGGGCAGCTGGTCAGCACTAACTTTTCATACGCCATCTGTTCTCCTACCCAATGCTCAAGACTTGCTTCTTCAAACCCACCCACTAATTCGATATAATCTGAGGTTGAACGTCACACAACAAGCTTTAAACATGGAGCTGTAGCTCAACGCTCTCCTGTTTTGTTTTTATATAGTTTCACAAGAACATTTTGTTTATTAAAATAATTCCTATAAACTCTCAGAACAGTAAAATTCATTTTCCTTGCTTGAGTAGCATTTCAAGTGGGAGTACTTTTATTTCAAGGCACCTAAAATGATGGTCTAAGAACACCTCTGCCTCCACATGTGAAAATCCAAAAAAAACCCAAAGAAACAAGTCCTGCATGGTGATCACGGCCATCCGCAGACTCTCATTACTGTTAACTGTGTTCAACAGGACATGAGTTTCAAGGGGCCTGAGAGCCTTGCAGCAGATCCCCCTGCTGAGGCCCCAAAAGGACAGAGATGAACCAAACACTTGCAATCAGAAAGCTGAGGGGGGGACCTTCAAAACCAAAGCTCGGTGTAAACGTGGCCCTACTGGCATCTCCCCAGCCCCCTCACTTCTCCTCCTCCTCGCTCAGGCTGGTATTCCCTGGGAGTGTGGACGTCAGCTTATTCTGCAAAAGAGCCGCAAGCTTTTTGGATGTCTTTTTGAGAAACGCACTGCCTGGGTGGGCACTGTCCACGTGCAGATACAGGTCCTCCTGGGTGGGGCCCGTGTAGCCACAATCCTCACAGACATAGAGCTTGTCCCGGCGCTGCTTATATGCATACTGCTGCTGTACGCCGTGGATCTTCTTCAGGTGGGACTCCAGGGAGCAGCGCTGGGTGAAGGCTTTGCTGCAGATGTCACATTTGTAGGGGCGGATGCCTGCAAGGGCGATGGGCAGATGTCAGCAGATGGTCACGGCCACGCCAGAGCCTCCCAACTAGGAAGCCATTTAAACAGATCCTGCACAACCCCATAGCAAAAAAAAACCTGATTCAAAAACAGACCAAGGAACTGAATACACAATTTTCCAAGATACACAAAGGGCCAACAGGTACATGAAAAGGTGCTCAACACCACTCATCAGGGAGTTGCTTATCACCTCACACCTGTTAGAATGCTTTCATCAAAAAGACAAGTAGCAAGTGCCAGTAAGGATATGGGGAAAATCCTGGTGCACTGTTGGTGGGAATGTAAATTGGTGCAGCCACTATGGGAAACAGTATGGAGGTGCCTTAAAAGTAGAACTACCATATGACCCAGAAATCCCACTCCTGGGTATATATCTGAAGGAACTGCAATCAGTATCCTGAAGAGATATCTGTACCTCCATGTTTACTGCAGCTTTATTCACTACAGCCAAGATAAGGAAACAACCCAAGTGTCCATCATCAAATGAATGGAAAGATGTGGTACATAAATACAATGGAATGCTATTCAGCAACAAGAAAGAAGGAAATCCTGCCATTTGCAATAACATGGATGGACCCTGTGGGCACGATGCCGAGTGAAATAAGACAACAGAGTAAGACAAATCCCGCATGGTATCACTTCTTTGCAGAAAAGTTCAACACATAGGAAACAGAAGAAAAACGGTTGCCAGGGGCTGAGGGGTGGAAGAAATAGAGAGAAAAACAAAATCATCCTAACCAGGGATCCAACATGAGAAAGATGATTAAGGCAGGAGACAAAACTATGCAAAGGTTCACAACATCCATGTGAGCAAACAACAAAAATGGATGCAAACAGCAAAAAGAAAAAAACCACTACCTGGCTTTGGGAAGGGAGTTTTATTCTCCCCACTTTATGCCTCCATGTTTTGATTTTATGGTGGGTAAAGTAATCTAGTTTTTATTTTAGTTTGGCCTTTTCTGGAAACGGACACTGCAACAAAGATTCCAGTACAAAGGGATATGGGAGAGGACCCCAGGCAGCACCTACAGGGGAGTAAAGTGAGGCAGGCACTGGAAGGAGTCCCTACAAGGGACATTCAGCAAGCCAATCACTGCTGTGGGCCCCCAGAGTCCAATTCCACTGGGCAAAGTGGGGGCAGAGCACAGATGATGCACCTCCCGTAATCCTGCCCCTTGGGAGCTGGGGTCTCCATTCACCTGTTCCAGCAGGGTCGCAGGTGTGGACAGCTGCAACATGGACAGGTGTGCCCAAAGATGGCAGGAGTCATGGGCAGGACACTGATGACACCTGCTAGCTGGGAAAGCATTTCCAATCCAGATCTCAGGCATGCTTTAGAATCAGGCCAATCCTAGTGGAGCCTGTCTTCTAGATGGAGAGTTTACTGTGTCACATGTTCCAGGGAGCTCAGCCTAATCAGAGCTCTCATTCCCGTTTCCACCATTGATGCTCACCCTGATGTGAGGTTGGAATGTCAGATAGAGAGGTGCAAGTAAGACCTAACTCAGGCTCTAAAGGAAGTGACCTAGGCTGTAAAGGAAGCACAGTGCCCCATAAGCACAGAAGCACCAGGGAGGGTGAATATTGTGCTGGGAGTACACAGAGCAGACAGGCGTTGCCACCACCCTCAGACCGTCTTAGGACCCAGAGGCCAGGAGGACCACTGCCTAGGGGGAACTGTTAAAGCCTCAGGCACAAAATTTAAGAGTAAGCCAAACCTCATCAGTCAAGATGAGTAATATTTTAAAAATCAAAATACATACCAAACAAATCCATGATGAATAACAAATCCATGATGAATAGTTTATCAAGATTTTAAATAAGGACAGGATCCGAGAGTCCCATGTTGCACCATCCTGGGGCTTGAGGTGAGAGGAAAAATGTGTGCCCCTATGTAAATGTTTTCGTATTTTTTTTTAATGGTTATATTTTCCCCAGAATGTTCTAGTTGTTGAAAAGTATTGAAAAGTAGGTGTATTAAAACTCACACCTTAAAATGTTTAAATATTTTATTTACACAAAAATAGAATTTATTATGATTTTACTATCCCGGCTTTAATGGAAGCAAACATATCCAAAGACATTTTCAAAATCAACTTTTTTTAATTTACCAACATTCCTAGGGATTTTTCCATATTGGTGCTTACAGCTCCCTGTCACTCCTTTGCAACCACACCATGGCATCATGCCCTCGGGGTCCATCCAGGTGATTGCAAGTGGCACCATTTGCAGATGCACCCAAATCCTATCCTTTAAAAACCAGAGACGGAGGGAGCACAACTCCAGCGTGCACCCTCACATCACATCACATCACCCTGCCCTGGACAACCTGGTACCAACGGGCGGGTCACAGAGCAGCAGTTACATTATATCACCTCACCTGGGAGCCTGTTGGAATGCAGTTTCAGGCCCCACCCCTGGTGCTTCTGGTTCTGGGGTGGGCTGAGAGCGCATTTCTAACATGCTCCCAGGTGAGGCTGAGGCTGCTCCTACCAGGACCTCTTTTGAGAGTCACAGGTCTAAAACCACGCCAAAGTAAGCAGATGGAGGCACTTCGGGGATCTGAAGGCAGCCAGCCATGTATTTCCACATCTTCCCTTTGAGGCTAAATGTCCCCAGTCCCTTAATGGTGGCTCGTGGAGAGGGGTCAAAAGAACCACTTCCATTCATGAAGTCTTTAAGTACACAGATGATGAAGGGGTCAAAATGGAGGAAAACATTCCCCCACTGCCATCCAACCACCTGAACCAATCAACCACTTTCATTTTTCTTCCAGGTCAAGTCCAAAAGTACACATGTGAGGCAAATCCTGTGATAAAAAACTGGTGGATCAATGTGATGGTGAGCTGTCAGATGTTACTCCAGCCTCCTCAAGCAGAACGCAGGCCTACCTTGTATTCTATTCAAGAAAAACTGCCCCAAGTTAAGTAACTCCTTTATAAACCTCATACTTGGCATATAATAGGTGCACAGTAATTTTTAAATGAACGACTGAATGAACCCTACTGGCACAGGGAAAGTGTGCTCACATCTTTAGGGCAAGGTTTCTACAAATTTAAGGAATTTGCCTCCTTTAGGTTTCACATTTGTGCCGTAGAGGGCTTTGTGTTTTTCCAGGCCTTCTGGCTCATATGGCAGCTGGCTTCCCCCCACCACCCCTGGCAGATAAAGCGACAATCATCATTTCAAACCCGCAGCTCATCAACAGAAATTCACCCGGAGACCGGTTATTGGAAATAACCGGTTTTACAACATCCAAACTAAGCACGTGGCAATCAGCACACTTCACCAGAAGTTAGCCCAGGATCCCGGAAAGGGATGTTTCCAGTCCTACGGAGGTCCCCACCCCCAGCGGGGACCTGAAAAGGTAACGGGAAGTGGAGGCGAGGGGTTGCTCCGCCTGATCCCAGCCCCCTCCCCGCCCTCTGCCCAGGGGCTGGGTGCCAGGACCGAATGTCAGGCTCCCTCCTCTCTTCACACAGGGCAGGTTGGCCAAGCGTCTTCTGTGGGCAGGGCAGCCGGGCAGCAAAGGCTTGATGACGCCAGAGCCCTGCGTCGTCCAGACAATGGGGAAAACGGGGATGACTGATGGTTTGTTTTTTTTCCCCCCAGGTCGGAGTGGGATTTGAGACTGGCTTGGAGAACGGGTGACCTGCAAACATGAAGTTAGAAGACAGTAGGCTCTCAAAGCTCTAGTTACTGCAATTCGACTTTAAGCAAACCTGGTTCCCCTCCTCTCTCTGAAAATAACCACGTTCATCCCTCACTCATTGGTGCAGGAAGACATAATCATGTAGCAGCCCCCTAAGCCCCTCCCTCCTGGAGCCCCACCCGCCATGAACTCCCCTTGGTGTTCTTGAGCAAAGACCAATCTTGTCCGTGTCTACAGTAGAATAATGGAACTGAAAACCACCCCCGACCCCACCCCCACCAGCCATAATTAACTGCTGACACCCACACAGGAACAGAGTCCAAGGCCACTGAAAGGCCCAGCATTGCACACACATCTGCTACTCATTAACTGAGGCCGTGGTTAGCTCCTGGGAACCCCTTCACGCCTCAGTTTCCGCACCTGTAAAATGGGGATAATATTCACACCCTCTTGTAAGGCTGCTCTGAGGATTAACTGAGACATCACATTCAAAGGAGCAAGCACATACTAAGTACTCAGTGGGATACAGACAGCTTCCAGAGTTTACAGTCCGGCTCCAGGAAATGCCAAGTATGCTCTACTCATGAACTGGCCAGTGGGTATTTAGCGTGTCTTTAAATTGTACCTATATGTATACTTGTTATTTTTGCATGCATTTTTGGATGTGTTATTTATTTCAGATGATGTGTTATTTATTTCACAGAAAAAGAGTAATCTTTACAAATCTGTTTCCTAGGTGTCTGGGGGAGAGAGAATGAGACCTTCACTAACCACCCTTTTTAAACACTGGGCCACAGGCCTGAAGTACCCAGTCCAAAAAATATTTTATACTGGGTTATCAAAAAGGGCTTCTTTTCAAATTTTCTATGCCCACTACGGAAATCAAACTTCATATCCCACAATTCCAAAGAAAATTCTTTGTTACTGGCACTTTCTGCTTGCAGGATTCCCTTGCTGTAGCTAAGTGCTCCTTTTTGAACTTTATCCACACATGAACTTCAGCAAGAAGCTTTCCACAGGCCTCTGTGGGAGTATTTAGGGCAACCTCCTCAGAAGTGATGTGGCTATGCCTAAAAAATCATAACGTGTTTATTACCCTTTAGCCCACTTCAGGGAAATTCTCTACAGAAAGCCTCACACAGGTAAGCAGAGGATCTGTAAGGATAACTGTGTCTGAAATTTTAAGAAGAGAAATAACAGGAAAAAAACCCAAAGTGGAAGTAAAGTGCCATCAGCTGGACACGGGAAAATGATGGGGCCTCCATATCTGAAATCATGTCATCATCTTGCAGTAAGAAACACTCTGACAACTGTGGAA